GACAAGAAACTGGTTCTTGGAAAGGTTATTAAAATTGACAAATCATTGGCAAACCTAACAAAAGAAGAGAGGTGGAAGACACAAATAACTCACATTAGAAACCATATGGGCAATGTCACAACGGAACCAAATGAAATCAAAAGGATAATAACAGAATACTATGAAGAGTTGTACTCCAACAAATTCAAAAATTTAGAAGAGATGGATACATTTTTTAGAAAAACCCGACCTACCAAAACTTACACAGAGTGAAGTAGAAAACTTGAGCAGACCCATAACAAAAGAAGCAGTTGATCAGGTCATCAAAAAACTCCCAACCAGGTGGCTTCACTGGTGAGTTCTACCAAACATTCAGGGAAGAGCTGTCACCAATTCTACTCAAATTATTCCAAAATATAAAAGAGTACAGAAAAGTTCCTAATAATTTTTATGAAGCCATCACACCCCTCATACCAAAACCAGGGAAGGACATCACTAAGAAAGAAAATTATAGACCAATATCCCTCATGAACACAGAAATAAAAATTCTCAACAAAATCCTAGCCAACAGAATCCAGCAGCACATCAAAAAAATAATACATCATGACCAAGTGGGTTTCACAGAAGGGAAGCAAGGATGGTTCAACATTAGAAAAGCAATCAACATAATCCACCATATAAACAAGAAAAAAGAAAAGAACCACATATTCATATCAATTGATGCAGAAAAGGCATTTGACAAAATCCAACATCCATTCCTGATATAAAAAACACTCAACAAAGTAGGAATTGAAGGGAAATTCCTCAACATAATCAAGAGCATATATACAAAACCAACAGCCTACATCACTCTCAATGGAGAGAAACTGAAAGCCTTCCCTCTGCAAACAGGAGCCAGACAAGGATGCCCTTTGTCACCACTCCTATTCAATACTGTGCTGGAAGTCTTAGCCAGAACGATACAGTAAGATAGGGAAATTAAAGGCATCCAAATTGGCAAAGAAGAAATAAGACTCTATCTATTTGCAGA